GAAATCACCCCCCAGGGGGGATGGTCACGCCGCAATCCCTTCTCCTCCATTCTCCTCTCGGGATCTTGGGCACGCACGCACACGCGCCCGGCGTGAGTTTTAAGCCACCGGGTCCGGGACACGAACCGCGGTCGACTACGTGGGAGTCCAGCGACATAGCCATTACGTTAACTGCTGGTTCCCAGGTTGATCTCATTTTGATAAAAGTATTTCCAAAAAATAATCGCTTCCGTTTTGATATTGCCAGTATACCCAGGTGAAAATGAGCATGTGTGTAAACATGTTACTGCCCCTTGTGTTTTAGGGTTGTTGAAGGATCTAGTCCTTAGGTGTGAAATGGAGGCTTTTTTTTTTTTTCTTTTTTGCCAGAGGCTGCATATGCTGGGCAGAGCCGGAGGGAGGGAGGGGAAAGCACCCAGGGGAGCGGTCACGACAGAGTCCCTCTCCTTGTCTCCCTCCCCATGGGTGGGGCATGCAAGCACACACGTGCCTGGTGTGTTTCTCAGACCCCTGTGGTTGGCCTTAGTGTCTGGGCCATGGAGCTGACCTCAAGTCACTGTGACAGTTCAGGGTTCTGCCACAGGGTGCAAGTCTTGCCAGAGAGAGACAGGCACGGGAGAAGTCACCCCCTGGGGGACGGCCACCCTCAGTACCTTCTCCTCTCGCCCCTTCTGACTGTGGGCACACATGCACATGTGCCCTGCGTGGTTTTCAGGGTGCTGGGACTCGAACCCCAAATTGATGTCGTCACAAAAGGGCATCGTAAAGTCTGGGTGAAGGGAGTCCTCAGCTGAGAACACACCGGCGGGTGATCACGAGTGGGTCGCCCACACGCTCTGGTAGTCCATACTCCCTAGGGAAGTTCACATACTTTGATGGATGACTAATAACTTGATAATTTGACATACCTTTATTGTTTCTAAGGGGCATGCTACGGTATTATTTTTTACTTTGCCAGAAGAGAGATGGGGGCCTGCAGATGGCATAGTGGTTATATTGTTGGACTCTCTTATGGCTGGCCGGTGGTTCAAGTCCCAGACTGGGCAGCTTGCTTTTTCATATTCTCTCTCTGTCTTTCTCTGGTAAAATTAAAACATTGATAATAATAACAAAATAAATACATTTAAAAGAAAGAAAACAGAGAGGGAAAGTGGCCGGCCATGAGGGATCTGCCTCCCATGACACTAGGCCATGTGCCAGCCCTGTACATTGCTAGCTAACATCCATGACGGTAGATTTTGGCAGGGAGAGATGTAAGCACAGGTGGACGGTACTCTGCGTGTCAGTACTCTGGCTGCGTGGGGCTGGACGGTACTCTGTGTGTGTCAGTACTCTGGCTGCGTGGGGCTGGACGGTCCTCTCGGTGTCAGTGCTCTGGCCGCGCGGGGGT